TTTTTGCAAGACATTTAAAACTCTCTAAAAGGAGATAATCACATCCAAGAATATTACAAAGTACTTCATAAGTTCATATCTGAATTATGAATTATGAATATATGCATTAATTATTTTTCAAGAGGGTAAAAGTGTGATGAGAAGTTGAGTGAGTTATTTTATAACAATTAAAAAAAATGTAAAAAAGAAATCGGATAGCTTTGGTAATATAACGCCTCCTTCTGCTTTTCAGGGCATTTAAATATTGAATGAGACAAAGAGAGGATATTTGACCTGCCAATCACTCTTCGGCCTATCAGAGAAACCCAACTTTAACCCACATAATACTGCGCAACATGACACAGACACACACGTATAATGGATAGGATGTCCACTTTGATGAGCACTTCCTGTTTCTAACTTAAACTATCACCATGGATGCACACTTCCGCTTTCTGACCCGCCCAAAGTGAGAAGTTCATCCCCTGTTAAGACAGTGTCCTCCTGCATATGTATGAAAAGTAGAAGCCCACCTTGAAGATATCGGATTTACGGACTGAAATGTGTCTGAACTTAATTAAGAACTGAAACAAGAGCAGATAGAGACAAAACAATGCATAAATAAAAGTTTCACACCCCCTGCACCTCTACTTAGGCCTACACTTTCCACATCTGTATGAGTCTAATCATAATTTTCCATCTGTGTGACCACTTCATCATTTTACAATTCATTTCATGAAGTGGTGAAAGTAAATACATGACCTCAGATGTGTGTATAACAGAGAAGCTTCGTAAACATGCGCATACACACACGCCCTGTCCTAAACTCGCTCTCTGTCCTCATGCTGTCTCTCTCTCTCTCACACACACACACACACACTTTAAAGGACAATACCGTCAGTTTCCCGCGTCCAAGGTTTTGAAAAATGGAAACTGGGGACCTCCTGTGCCTCTGTCAAGATCTCTGAAGCTTCTGAAGTTTCCTAGGTTTTCTGTGAGAAGGTTTAGCAGTTTTGTCTCTCTTGGGTTGTGGTCTCTGCTACTTGTGTCACCGCTGCTTGTTCCTTTTTTTTTTTCTCTGTCAGTTTCCGACAGGCGGAAATGTGAAAAGGCTCAAAGATTTTTCACTGACAGACTGTGGGAGTGACACATATATGGCAATTTGGGTGTGCATAAATATGTTATTTTTGTGTGTTGAGTAATGAGCAAAAATGTAACTTTAGGGTGTGAGTTATGAGTTCTATACTTTAGTAGCAGCACTTTCACCTTTTATTGACATATCAGACACAAACCAAAACAATTTCATTTTTATGCTCGACTACTAATAAAAATTGGCGCATTTAAAACCAAAATTCATTGTCTCCTGTCTAACATCCACAAAAATAATAAGGAGCTCATTGTTTTTAATATGGGGAAGATACCTTTATACAATGACAGGCTTGCTGTGACTACAGACTGTCTTTTGTTTTTTTGAATCCGCTAGAGGGAGACCAAATACGGACATATTCTTCTGTAAGAGCCTACAGTAAATGTTGCTTTCAGGGCTAGATGGCTTTTGGAGAATCGGCGAAAGTGTCGATTTTAAGTCAAGATTATTGCGTAGGGTTGATGCTTTAATTTGTGTTGTCCTGCTACCGCATCCAAAATGACTACTTTCTGGAAACGTCTTGTTAAGATACATATTCGTATTCATTATTCTGTGGGCTGTAGCAGGCCAGCGTGTTCTTATCATGTAACGTCAATGTTTCCGACAGTCATGAAGGCGGCGCGCTCTTGTGGTTGACGGTTTCGACTCTGCTACTCGGGTCGGGGTTTTCGCTGGGTGGGAACTTGTAAATAGAAACACCCTCAGCTGTGTAGTCTACTTATTTCACATGCCACAGCGTAACTTGTTTAATGACACCACTGAAAACCACATTACAACTCACATTTTTACAGGTACTTATTTGGCGGCAATTAGCAGGCTCCC